TATATATATATGTACGTATATATATGTATATATGTGTGTGTGTGTGTGTGTATGTCAATGCGTCGAATTCTGTAGATCCCTGCTCACTGCATAATCTGGCGTGGCGACCCATACACATGGTGAATGAGCTAATAGTATTTATATATGTTTGTTATTGTATGTTCCTCTTTGTTGTATACAAACCGTGACGTAAATGTTGAGTGTCGTCGATCAATCAGCTACTAGGAAAATCATTCTGAAAGAATATGTCTGAAGTTTGATTTAGCTAACATTCTCGAAGGCAGACAACGTTTAAGTGAACACATAAACTACATATACATATGCATGCCTAAACTTTGACCTACTCTATGTAATATATCTGTGGTTGCCGACATACCTGTAAATTATTGGCTTGTAAAAGGTCCTGATACATTCTCTAACGGCAACAATTAACGTACAGGCGGCAATGTTTAGCAACTTCTTCGTGAAGCCTTCCGGAGGTGCAGGCTCGTGTTCCACCGGCAGTAGCGCTAAATCAGAAACAGCGACCAGAGTTATAGATCCCTCCACAGATGCGAATAGCAACACACTAGAACCATCGGCTAACAACTCAATCTTGACGGGAAAAATGACTGAAATCAAGGCTTTCGAAGAGTACTTTATACCGTTTGAGGTGCCATTACATGCACGCATGGCCAAGAGTTCTGTGCGTAGGCCTTTAAGCGAAGTTGAGTTTGTTGCTCTGAATCGCACGTGGGATAGTGCGAGACAAAGCACACAACCCGATAAGGACACAGAAACCGTGAAGGTGATCATTCCAAACCAAGGTACAGATAGTGAAGACAATGCCGTCGCCAGTAAAGCCATGCTGGACGAGCTGATAAGTTGCGGTCAGTCCGGCAAGTGGCGAGTAGAGGCCGATTCAAAGAGAAACAAAAAGAAAAATAGGGGAGAAGAAAACGATGAGGATGTTGTGTGTCTGGGCTCCGCACCAGAATCTTCTGGTGTATCGAAGGAAGCTTATACCGGATTAGGGGTAAGTCGTTCCGTTGACGCGCCCACCAGGTGATCCTTGTAGGAATCTTGCTGTGGTCGTTTCAATTTAGATGTTCATCGTATCTTCCTGTTTACAGCTGTTTGCAGCTGTTTGTTTGCGAGTTTACGCTTCCTTTTTCTTATTATTATGTATTCGTATACAAATGTTGGGTTAGTACCACCTAAATCTCACACATGTACCTCACTCTCCCCCTTTTTCCTCTATCAGGGATCACAAACCATGCACCTGAAGCTGCTGCAATTCCACGACAACTACCGGCCGCCCTACTTTGGCACGTGGTCACGTAAGAGCGCACAAATCTCCGGACGTACGCCTTTCAAAATGGACACGGACCTGTTCGATTACGATGTTGTCAGCGATGAAGAGTGGGAGGTGCGTAGCGAGGGGACTGGACAAAGTCTGTGTGCTTTTGGATATGGGTGCCGATCTGCTTGTTTACATGCGTGTTCTCGGTTTGCATGTTAAACTGCACTTATCGCCGACTAAATTTTGCTTAGTTACACCAATTTATTTTCTTTATTGGTATTGGAGTGTATATGATCTCATTACGGAAAGTCGTATCCACATGCCCATACACTCAAGGTGATACATGTACTTATTTCTTAGTTGGCTGAGAGAGGCACTTTTTTTTTAAGTTTATGTGCAAAATTTGTGTGCAGTTTTGGATATTGCATATGGATAGCTTGTGCTCATAAGACTCTGAGCAACATTCTCTATTATTGTGTGAACTTATTGTGAACTTTTATGATTATCTCTGCGACGAATTTAAACGCATGCCATGTTGAAACCTATTCTTTTTTTTTCCTCAAATTGTAGGAGGAACCAGAGGGTGAGGATCTATCTGATGATGAAAAGGAAGCCGACGCTGACGGTGAGTTTAGCTCCGAATGTCAACGTCTTGTTTATAATAGTGTGCGGGTACTCCGCAATTCAGTGTGGTAGTATAGCAGTCTTAGGCTTTGAATTTTGTTCATTCTCCGGATTGTCCTCGCATAAAATACCTATTTATATCGTCCATGCACCTCTACCTCAGCCGAAGATGTGGAAGAAGAAGAAGACGGGTTTGTGGTACCGCACGGCTATCTATCTGACGATGAAGGTGTGGTCGATGGGGAGGGTGACGAAAAGGACGATTCGTCAAAGTCGGGCATTCGCAATGAAGCGCGTGACAAGAAACTAGAGATTGCTGGAGCCAGGGCAGCTATGGTAAGGAGATGTCTGCGAAAAACTGTAAAGTTAAGCGGTGTAGTCGGCTTATCTGATGTGCACCGTCGTGAGTTAGTTTAGGGTACTAAGCTGAAGCAGCTATGATTTGTGTATGTTTTAGTTTGTAAGGCAATTCCTACAGCAATACCTAAGTGTGTATGTGTGTGTGGTCAAACGAAGATATGCCGTCGGTTCGCGTTTTTATACTACTTAATCGGTAGTGCTATGGAATGTTGTCGACGTAGCATATATGTACCACAGGGGTTGATGTGAATGTGTGCGTGTGATATTGTGCTATTGTGTGCTGTTGTGTCTGTGGTAGCCTTTGGCTTCGCCAGGGGTTGATGTGAATATGTTTGCGTGTGATATTGTGCTATTGTGTGCGTGTGATATTGTGCTATTGTGTGCTGTTATGTCTGTGGTGGCCTTTGGCTTCGCCAGGGGTTGATGTGAATATGTGTGCGTGTGATATTGTG